GTGAGCTTTAAAGGTCTCAAGTGTTTTCCATGGTCCTAATATGTCTTCAAGGTCATCCATGCCAAGTTTCATGCCTTGCACAACAAGTTTGCTCAGTCAATTGCTCAAATGTTTGAAAATCAATTGTACTAGGTCAAAAGTCAAATGTGGCCTATATACAATCAAGCTTCAAGATTTTTGGTCAACATCAACATTTTGAAATGATATCCATCATTTGATCAAGGTTTGGTCATGATTCCTCAAGAAATGCTCCTAATTCATAAAAAGTCAAGAATTGCTAAATTAGGATTTTTATAGAAAAAGTTAACCAAACTTTGACCAGACATAACTTTCTCATACTTCACCCATTTTTACCCAACCAAAGCTCATTTTGAAGATAATTCAATTCCCTACAACTTATATTCATCCCTCAAGTCCAAAATATTCACCATTTGAAAGATACAAGCTCATACATTACAGGTCATTTTCAGAAAGTCAACAAAAGCCACTTTTTTCCAAGACCTTTTACATCAATATAAAATCTTCAAATCCAAAATTAATCAAAATAGGGAATGAAGTAGATATATTGGGATTTCCAAAAAGTCCAATATCATCATCATGAGATGAAAACTGAGAAAGTTATGGCTTGCCCAATTTGGGAAAATTTGGGAATTTTTCAAGAATTATGCATTGAGCAAATTTGAAATTTTAAGGCAAGGTCTCAATTTCTTGGATTTCAAACATCTTTCTAAGATTATAGAGGACCTCCAAAAACACTCTTACCATGCCTTACATTTTTTTAACTTATTTTGTACACATTTATTTTAATTTATTTCAAATAAATATAAAATAAAATGTATAAAATAATTGGAAATAGGTTTTGGCATTTGGGATGGTGTTTTAGCTTGCCTTGAAGCCCAAGATTTCGTGCAGCCATGTCCACATTCATTCAAATTCAAAAAATGACAAGTTTCCTTGCTTTTGGCCAAAGTTACAAATTTCATTCATGGCTTTGAAACGTTTGCTTTAAGGTTGTTTAAACCTTTATTTTCTTGTCTCCTCATTTCTCTCTATATAAACAAGCATATAGAAAGCATTTCAACACACCTACAGCCTAGAGAGAGCTCTACCATTTTTGCAAAATTATCAAAAGCGGTAAAAATTCAAAATCCACTTTGCAGATACTTTTGGTCCGAACTAGTAATCATACATTGCTCTTGAGGTTCCCAGGGACTTGTTCCAACCATCCTCAAAGATTTCAAGGTACCAAATCACCGGATCCAAGCTATCACCGTTTTGGTATAATCTCAAATTCGAATCTCTATTTTCATTAATTGTTGAATGTTCTAATGTGTGTATATGAGTTCTTGGATATCCTTTGAGCAGGTTAGGGGAGTTACATGGAATGCATGACATCTAGAACAAGAGATACCATGTACCATCAAGTACTGCCCACACTGGATTCAAGGATGGACCTGGGCTTCACAATCGGGGCTTAGCGAAATTTTAATTGCACTCCCATTCTACTTCAGTCGTCAAGCCCAATTCCTTTTCTTTTTGCTTTATTTAATTATTTCATCTCTTAATCATTTTAATTACAATAATAAAAAAACTCACAAAAAAATTTAGGCTTAGACTTTTTTAATTAAATAATTAATTTTTAATTAATTAATTAATTAATTAAAACTTTAACCTTTTTCTTAATTAAAAATGAATTAGAATTTAAGTCTAATTACTTTCTTTTCATAATAAAAAAAATACACAAAAAAGGCTTAGTTTATTTTTCTTAATTTAATTTTCTAAGTAGACTTTAGGATAATTAATTTAATTATTTTTCTTAAATAAAAAAATAAGCAAAAAGATTTTTCTTATTAGGTTTTAGACGAACTTACAACCTTTCGCGCGTTATTTATTTTTTGCATCTTTATATTCATGTAACTGCATACTGGATGTAATAATTAATAGGATTTTATTTGCTTCTTTATTTTCCTTCTCCCAATTTTTGTATGTTGTAAATATCCTCCTCCCCGAAAACCATGTAATAGTTTAGATATACATTTTCCGCACATTATTTTCTATACAATATTACTGTTAGTAATTAGGCATGTATAGCAAGACTGAAAACAAACATTAGCAAACCTAAATACGCAAGATAAATAACTGAACTAAACACAATTGCACATGCGCACCTCTAGGGTCTCCCACTTAGGTTGCCTTTGGAAAATGGTCACAATTCTGGAAACTTGAGATTTTTTAGTGGCTTTCCTCCAGTTTAAAGATCACTAGTCCCTCGATGACCACCTCGATGTTGCCTCGGTTAAAAGTGATCTTAAGACTTTAGGACAGTTACTAAAATTTCTTGCCAAGTTGCCTTCGTGACTGTAAAGTCCCTTTCGAATGTCCCTAATACATCTAACGATAGGGCTACCTACTCACTAATAGTAGGATAGCACTGTCTAAAGGATATGAGGAAAAGAATGACCCTTTTCGATTATAAAAGTAGATAGCTGTTAGAAGTTTGCTCAAAAAAACATTTTGCACTTACATAAATACTACTTTTCAAAAGCAATTTTCAAAACATCTGCTTTGTTAACACTCTTGAGGACTGATACCAGAGTTAAATGCAAAGAAAATCGCCACACTAAGGCATTTTCCAAACATTTTCAAAATGCACAAAGGTATTTCAAAACGAGCAAACCTCTAAGAGCCCGTAGTAAACTACGGATGGAAAGGGTGCTAACACCTTCCCTTTCCATAATCTACCCCCTTACTTAGAAAATTCTCAAAAAAGTCTTATTCTGTTCTTTTCACTCTTTCCTTTGTTGGATAAAAGAAAAATTGATGGCGACTCTTGCTTACCGCAACATTTGCGAACAAAAATGCAAAACCAGTATTAAACAGTCAGTTTTGCAACTGTATCACAAAACTGACAACTCTGCTGGGGATATCTTAAAAAGTGGGGTTACCTTAGAGTTAGTTCATTATTTAACTGCTTTTGTATGCTTGGTTTGCTTTACCTTTTGGGATTGTTAGGGTTGTTTCTATAGATCCTACACCCGGATCTGGGGCACCTTTTAGGTAAGTAGCAATAGATCATGGAAAATATGTGGGGTATATCGACACGATTTAAGCGATAGCTACGTTGATGTGACACTTTGGTTGGTACCGATAGCCTTTGAGTAATGAAGGAGAATATGGGGCTGCTGTATGGTGTCATAAAGCATCAACTGACCTTAGAACCTTTAATTGACCAACTTGGCCATTAGGAAGTAGTGAGATAGCTGTATTTGGTGTAGTCCTAAGTCGGTTGATACTCGATACTACACTCATTGAGATTTGACTCTCGAGTTTTGTTTTGTGGTAAGTCAGTTGTCGATCAGAACGAAACTTCTGGGAAAGATCAGTGATATTAAGATCCCATAGAACCCGATTACTATTACTAGGACAGGTTGAGCCAACTAAATTTCAAGGGGGTACTTACCTACAAACCCCATGCAAGCTTAAACCTAAGGCTGCTTGTAAGATTTGTTTGCTTTCAACTTGAGCTACTTGCAGAGTTTTTATCTAACAACATGATTTCCTTGTAGGATTTGTTTACAGTCATTATCCAGTAACCTGGACTTCTTAGACTCACTTGTCTTCATCACCTTACACGTTTGATTCACGCGTAGCATACACATCATAACATCATGCCACAACATTTCCTTAACCAATTCAAGGATCTCAAGGGTTTGTGATGCAGGTTATAATAAATCAGACGTCTAGTATGGGGCAAGGGGATTTATTTTCCTCTAGCCAATGCCGTCAAAAGATCAAAATTCAACAACTTGAGTCAGGGGCTATGACCCACTTGATATGGGGATCTTGACTCTCGTAGAAGGACACTCAACAATACAAAGTTCTTCAATCAAAGCTGCAAATTTCAACTTCTGACACTTTCTTGTTTACCCCACAAGATCCTTGAGAACATTGCGTGCATGCCATTTCATAACAGGTCTTCCAGTACAAGTTTCTCATCTTTTCGCTGTTGTTGTACCCCAAAATTTGCCCTCCTATTTTTTATGCAATATATTATCCTAGGGTTTCTCGAATACTCAATTTGGCTTAAAAAGTTGATCAGACATATTCTCTTCCTAGGCAGTAAGTCAACAATTAGGGTTTGTTATTTCCTAAATAAATTTGAGTCTCCAAGGTTTCAAATGGTCTTCATAGATCTTCATGTCTCCTCAAGGATGTTCATGCCAAGTTTTAAACCTCGCATTGTAAGTTTGCTCAGTCAATGGTTCAGATGACTAAAAACGACTCCATTAAAAGTCGACCTTTACGAGATCAAGTTCAAACGATTGTAACTTCTTCATTAATCAATATTTTTGAGCGGTTCTGTTTGCGTATGACTCTCCTTGACGTCATCTCCAATTTCTCTTCACAAGTCAAGAGTTGATTACGTGCGGAAGATCATCAAAAATTCGAATACTTTAGAGGTCGCTTTATTGACTTTGACCTAATCTTAAGTAACTGTCGCCTGACCTCTAGGAACTGTAATTTCCTCAATTTCCAAGATCTTGAGACGATTATTTCTGCATATTGTCATAAGTGATGTCGTTTACGAGTTTATCTTCAAAGATCAAAGGAAAATTGTGTTTGGAATACTTTGAAAGTTATCGAATCATCACAGGTTATTTGCTTGATTTTGAATGTTCTTAACTCCTAATTTCAATTCATACCACAAATTTTTTCTCAGGACTATGATTCTCATGTTGAAGTTGTTAATTTTACAAGATTGATGAATACTTTTAAAGCATATGTTTTGTCATCAAGAGATTGAATTCAAGTTTGGCAATGAAGTTCCATTTAAATCGAGCATGGCATGCAAGTTTCATTTTGAGTGCAAGTTTCAGGGAATCAAGAGGGTATATAATGTTCAAAACATATCCAATATTATCAAACAAACTTCTCTCGATACATGTTCGAAATCGCGTTGATTCACTTATCTGTCAATCTCCTTCAAGCTTTTGAGACAAATGAGTTTACATAAGGAAATTTCGAGTTTCTATCTTGAAAATCATTCAAAGTTGTTACATTACTACAAGAGATTTACAAACTTCAAGTTCCATCAATTTATGTTACAAAGGAATAATTTCAAGATACATTTCAAAGTGGGTTACAATTTAAGATACAAACTACAAGTGTTTTGTTTACAAAAAAAAAAGAAATATTGCTTCTTCAATTTTCTCTTGCTTCATCTTCAAGAAAATCATCCATTCCTCGCCATGGCTTCTTCGCATTTCAACCTCGCTTGACATCCAATTTCTTGTACATGTAACAAAAGAAAGAAAAAGTTAGCTAACATGTGAGGATTCAAGAATTAATTGTTAAGAGTTTTTATCTCATCATTAGAGTTTGCGTTTTGGAATTAGAAATTAAAAGGGTTTTTTAATCATGGTTTATCTCCTCTACTTTTGCAAATCACAAAAAAGTGGATTTCTTTTGGTTCACAAACAGGGAAAAGAATAGCAAAGGCAAAACTCAAAACAACACAAAACAACAAGCAGTGCAAAAACATGTAACAGCAGTACAACAACTCAAGACAGCAGGGCAAAATGCAAAGCTACAAGCCAAACAACAACCCAGGCAGCCCCAAGACAGCAAAAAAAAGAGGGCAAACTGCTAAGCAAAACCAAACAGTAGCATTAAAGCAGGCTGCAACTAAAGAGTGCAGCAAAAAATCAAGCAAAAACAAATGGTAGCACATGTAAGATAGAGTTATTCATAAAAACAGCAAGCTACCAATAGCCAAAACCCCATGTCATCATTTTCCTAATCTATGCAAACTCTTCAGAATTTTTGACAAAGCAAAATTGCTTTGTGTCATAGAAAGATGAAGAGGGAAAGAGAAAGGGACATAAAGATATCACCTAAGCATATAACAGCCTAAAACATGTAAAGAAAAGCAGCCTATTACAAACCAGCAAAACAGTCCAACCTTGCTGCAAAATAATAGCTTTGTTGCTGTCCCAAATCCTGCAAAAAACCTGCTGCAAAACCATCCTAAAGAATAGTCCAAAATAGCTCAACACTTGCACAAAGTTAGCAAAACAAAAACTGCAGCCACAAAGCAATGAAACTGTGCCTTTAATTGTTCAAATCCATCTTATTTTTCCCTCCTAAGTCAACCTCTCATTCTTATATAAAAATAGGGAGCTCACAGTTAAAACACCACACGCTGTGTATGTAAGTTCATACACAAAAATACACTCCCAAACCTCTCTTTCACTCATACTGCTTTGTGTTAATTCCAAATAACAGTTACATTTTTCTCATTTTAATCGGTAAATCAAAAGAAAACTTGTTCCCATTTACTAACATTTTTTAACCCTCCTTCATTTCCTTCTACCTAATTCAAAGACCACTAACGATACATACTATCCTTGTTTCAAGTTTTTTTTCCGTTTAAAGCAAAATCTCACAATAACCAATAAACCATTACTAGTCAAATCTCTACCACCTCCTAAAAACTTCAAGAATCACGACAACAAAGAGGCAATATTCATCTAACAACATACGCACACAAATACACCAAAAGAAGAACCAACGACATACACTATAAACCACAAAGGAAACTACAAGAAAACTTTTCATTGAAAAAATAATCACAGATGCAACATGTATCTGCAAAATGGGAATTCAGCATGCTGGTGTTCCTTTGCCAACTAATGCAGTTGAGGAGCTCGTGTTTGTAAATGCAAAACAACATCATGGTATTCTATGATGCAGGCAGTCTCGTTGTTAAAGCTGAATCAAAAAGTAAAGTTACAAGGAATCGTAAGCCATACTTGTACGAATCACGACACCTACATACGGAAAAGAGAAAGAGGAAGCGGAGGTCAGTTCCAAAATTCAAAGAAAGATGAGAGTCAATCGAACGAGGCGGGATCAGTTGGAAATTCACAGTCTAATATCAATCTCAAACCTAAGTCTAAACAGAGAGAAGAGAAAAAGAGGAATAGTTTGAGCTTACCGAAATTCGTAGATTCTCGTTGGAGCTCCTGCTTGCGCCACCGTGAGATCTTGATCCCTAGACACCGATTTTAAACCCTTGAAGTGAGCCGCCACTCACTTCATCCTCCGACTTCTTCATCATCTTTATCCATTTTCGTCGTCTCAGCTTCGACGCCTTCGATTTCATCTCCGTTTTCTTCTCCTTCCTTTCTCCGATTCATACGTTCTTTTCATCTAATTCGTCGTTGTTGAAACTTCGATCAGCCTCCTCCTTGGTACAGTTCTTCAGTTTGTCAACTCCGATGCCACCCTGACAACTACGGTTAAGTCTCCAACTCCACAGCCATAAAAATTGCTGCTATTTACAAGGAACATGGGAGCTATAATTTATAGGGGAAACGCGTTTTAGAGAAGAAGATGGCAAGGTTGTATGCGTTTGTTAATTTTAAAAACAGAGAGAGAAGGTTGCTATGAGTTTCAAGTAAGTTGAATCCCTAAAGCCCTTTCATTTATTTTGTTTGTCATACTATTAGATTTTTTTTTGTTTTATTTGTTTTCTATGAAAATTATGACGGGCCATTAGGTTTATGTAAGCCCAAATAATCACATTATTTACTTTCTTTTCATTTAGTCTTAGCTCTTAGATACCAAAAACCATAGAAAAGATAAAAAGAAATAAAATAAAATACCAAAAGATATATATACCTTTGATTTAATTTCTTTGTAATTAATTTATTTCTTTTCTAGAATAGGTTGTGATTTTCCCCTCAAAATTCCTCATAAACAAAAATATCGAAAATTTCCTTTTTAATTTTTACTTTGTTAATTAATTTTTACTTCATAGATTTGTTGTAGTTTAAATTAATTGCTCGATTCGATTTGGTTGTATTGATTGCCTATTTGGAATTTTAATCGCATTGATTCATCCCCATTTATGAATTTGTACCCCCATTCCTGAAAACCCTGTAATAGCGTAGAATTTTAATTTCCGCAATTTACTGTTTTCCTTATGCTGTATAGTAATTAGACGTGCATGGAAAGATTTAAAATCAATCGCTAGATAACCCTAATCAAAGAAAAAAAATAACTTGAATCGTACACACTTTTCACACGCGTACCTCTAGGCTAACCTCGCTTGTTGCCTCAGAAAAACAATCATGTCCCTCGAATATGGGACGCTTTAGCAAAGACCCTTAGATAAAAAAAGATCGTAGTCCCTCGACATCCCTCGATGATGCCTTCGGTAAAACGATCTAGTCCCTTACGAAAATTGCTAAAGCGTCTCATAAGTTGGCTTCTATGACTGTACAATTGACTCGCGCCTGTCCCTTCACATCCAACGATGAGGCTTCTTACCAAATCAATGGTAAGATAGCCACATCTAAAGGAGGAGGAAAAGAATATTTAAAGACGTTTTGAGTAGGTATGATGCTCTTAGTTGCTCGTTTGCTCACAACAAAACATTTTTTACACCAACACTTTCATCTTGAAACATTTTCAAAAGACAAAGCTTTTTGTACGCGTTCTTATAGAGACGAGAACCATTACAAAGACGTTTTCGAAATACTTTCAAAACCCACACCATAAGCACATTTTCAAACAAAAGCAAGTGATCTAGCAAGGAACTAAGAGCCCGTAGATGACTACGGATGAAAAGGGTGCTAATACCTTCCCTTTTCATAACCTACCCCCCGAACTCAAGAAAACATCTCTAAAGGTCTTTCCTGTTCTTTTCAGCCTTGCCTTTTGGATAAAATAAAATTCGGTGGCGACTCTTGCTATCCGCACAATTGTGATCAAACGCAAAACAACCAAGTCAGTTCTCCCACCGAGTTACATCTATTTATTTCAGCAAAAGAAATGGCCCTTGAACAAACAGTAAAAGACCTTCAAGCTCAAAACACCCAGTTCCAACAAATGTTCATGGCTTTGGCCTAGGGGCAGGAAGAACTGAAAGCTTTCATCATCAAAGAGAAGAAGAAGAAGGCAAAGAAACCGCCTGGCATCTTGAATATGGGAAGAAGACTCAGAGGACCAGTTAAACGAGCTCTAGATCTCACAACTCCATCAGACGAAGGGGATAATCATGAAGAAGTCAACAACCCCAAGGCTGATGAAGAAGAAGCTGATTACTCTGAGGAAAAAATATCCTCTTACTGACGATAAATATAAATAGCTGGAGGATCCTCTCAATGCTATGGAGATTCAGCAGGTACCTGGCTTGGACTTTGAAGAGTTAGGGTTGGTTCCTAGAGTGGTCATCCCACCAAAGTTCTAAGTTCCCACATTATCTAAGTATGACAGTGTATCTTGCCCTAAGTTGCACTTAAGGTCCTATGTCAGGAAGATCCAGCCTCACAATTCTGACCGGAAGTTATGGGTTCATTTCTTCCAAGAAAGTTTAGTTGGCACGCAACTAGAATGGTTCTATCAGCTAGAAAGAACAAACATTCATACCTGGGAAGACTTGGCTGCTGCTTTCTACAAGAAGTACCAATATAATGCTGACCTTGCTCCAACTCGTACATAACTTCAAAGCATGTATATGGGTTCTAGCGAAGGCTTCAAGGAATATGCCCAAAAATAGAAGGATCTAGCTGGCAGGGTACAACCTCCTCTGGATGATCGGGAAATGGTAGACATGTTAATGGGAACTCCGACATGCCCATTTTTTAATCTTCTGATTGGGAGTTCCTCATCCGGGTTCACAATGATGGTTCTGACTGGAGAAAGGATCGAAAGTGGTTTCAAGAGTGGGAAGATCCCGATGGCTGCATCTTCTAATGCTGTGAAGAAGCCATTTGATGGTAAGAGGGAATCCAATTATATGTATGGCCAGAAGGGTCGTAATAAGGCAGACTACCACCAATCTGTAGGGGTAGTGCTGGTGTCTAATTTGGCACGCGTGCAATGACCATAACAACAAGGTAATCAGCGAAGGCAAGACGAGCCTAAGAGACAGTTTACCAAGATCAACATGCTGCTGTCTCAAGCATTACAACATATGTTGAGGATGAATTTGATTACGTTGATAGGACCTCATACAAACCCTAAGACTCCTTCTCCTAACTACAATCCTGATGCAAGGTGTGCCTATCATTCTGGCAGTTCTGGGAACAATACTAACGATTGTTAGGCTCTGAGATACAAGATCCGAAATATGATTGACGCCAAGGAGATTGAGTTCGGCCCTCCTAAGACTCCCAACGTGATCACTGCTCCCATGCCAAATTATGGCCAGGATTGAGAGCATTTTTGTTCATTTGAATTCTCAAGTTGTATTTTCTTTGTTTGTTCAAAC